TGCTATGGCAGCCTGAGTAGACTATATGAGTAGTGTAATGCATATAATAATAGGATTAAATGAGTTATTATATGTACAGAACAGTGCCAGGTATGCAGCAAGTCTTCAGTAAATATCAGATATTATTATTGTTATTAGGATTGTCACCAGCATAACTGAAAGTGGAGACTATGTCTCACAAGTTTAGGCTTTTTGAACTATACTTTCCCACTGATAACATTCTACAATGATATACATGTTCTATTCTGTTCTGCCCAAAACAACAGCCATCAGCCACCTGTGGCTATTTACCTTAAAATTGGTTAAGATAAAATACAAAAAATAAAATATAATACAGAATTCAGTGTGCTGGTTGCACCAGTCATATTTCAAGTGTTCCATACCACCACATCTGGTGGCTGTCACGTTGGACAATGAAGAACACTTATGTCATTGTAAGAAGTTCTATTAGGCAACACTGCTCTAGAAGATTGCCTTTCAAGTGGTTTTGACTGTGACATTTGGTTAAGAAATACTTTTAAAATCACACAGAGATTTATATTACTGAAACATAATTTATGTTACTGAAACCAATTTGGATTTTATTTTATTAAAACATTTTTTTAAAGTTGGGGGTCTCACTCCGTTGCCCAGGCTGGAGTGCAATGGCATGCTCACTCACAGCCTCGGCCTCCTGGGCTCAGGCGATCCTTCCACCTCAGCCTCCCGAGTACCTGCGACTCAGGGTGAGCGTCAACATTCAGACTAATTTTTTAATGTTTTGCAGAAAAGAGGTCTCACTGTGTTGCCCAGGCTGGTCTCGAACTCCTGGGCTCAAGTAATCCTCCTGCCTCGGTCTCCCAAAGTGCTGGGCTTTCAGGCAAGAGCCACTGCACTCAGCCAGCCATGTCGTTTTTTAAGGACCACAGAGGAGCCACCGGAGAACTTTAGGCAGGGGGTGACATGATCAGATTTCCCTTCCACCACTCTGGCTACTGTGATGAGAAGTGAGGAGGGGTGTCAGGCTGAGACCACGACCTGACCCCAATAGTCATGTTCCCCGTTTTCCTTTAACATCAGAGTTGTTATTGGCAGATGACTTGTGCAGACTAAAGACTACATTTTCCCTGGCTTCCTTGCAGGAGGGCGTGGCCACATGACTAAGTTTTGGCCAATGGGGTGTGAGCAGAAGTGATAAGTCCAGCCAGTGGGAGGAGGAGGCTTGGGGGTTTCCCTCCTTTTCCTTTGTCCCCTTCTCCTCCCACCTACTGCTGCCTGGACCGTGGGGCAGGGTTTGGGACTGTGCATGGGCTGGCCAGGGCCTATGGCATGGAAGAGCTGCCCTTCTGACTGAGGATTGCTCATATTCAGATTTCCTCACAAGATAAATGAACCCGTGCTTTACTTAAGCTTCTGCAACTTTGATGTGCACAGACAGCAAAGAAGAGCAGAAGCAGGGAGGCAGTGAGGAGGCTGTGATGGTGTCTGGAGAAAGGTGATGGTGTCTTGGATGACATGGAGAGAAGTGGGCAGGGGCTGGGACCCGAGACAGTGGCGGAGATTCAGGCAAGGCAGGACGATGCCCTGTGCCTCTGCTTGACATCAGCTGTGTGGCCACCCTGCTCTCTGCCGGACTCCTTACTCCAGCGCCTGGACACCCCCTCCCAGCCACCTCCCTCCTGGGCTCAAGTTATTGACCCCTGTCACAACTGTCCTTACCATGCCAGCCCCTGAACCTCTATCTTATCTTCCTGCTTCCTCTGCTCTTGCCTCAGGGGCCTCCTCCCTGTTCCTGGTGCCTGCCAACTCTGGCCATGCCTTGGACCCTCTGTACTGCTGTTCTCTCTGTCTGGAATACTCTTCCTCCATATACACGGCCCCCTCGCTTACCTCCTTCGTGTCTCTGCTCAAAAGTCAAAAGAGCCCTTCCTGGATACACCAAGTGAAATAATGGCCCCGTGACACCCTCTCCTCGATTCTCTAGGCCTCTCTGCTGAGTGCGTTATCTGAAAGTCATTTTCTATAATCACTTATTCAGAACTGGCCTCCCAGCTGGAAGGTTGAGGCCCCGAGCACGTGGTTTTTGCTGTGTTCTGTTTGCTGCTGAATCCACAGCACTTTGACTAGGGCCTGGCAAAGGGTGAGTCCTCCATGCAGAGCTGCCGGCCGCAGGAAGCACCCCTTACATGCAGATGGTACGACAGACTTGGAGACAAAGGGGTCCAGCTTCCATCCCCAAGCCCATCTGGACAAGCAAGGCCCGCCCTGCACCAGCCAACAAGATGTTTCCACTTGTGTGAGTTTCAACTTCTCCGTCCTGTAACATGGTTTCAATTCTGCTGGGCTGCCCTGGGAGCTCCTGGCGCTGGGGACATATTGAAATAAATTTAGAAAACAAACGAAATAAACAAACTGGCTTCCCTGAGTAGCTCCAGCTGGCAATTAAGATCCCCCTTCAAGAGGTGCAATTTGGACTTCGGGGGCCAGAGAGAAACAGCAGACGGGGCGGGGCTCTGAAGCCATCTGCTGGAAACACACAGGCATCTCGCAGGATACCCGGCTCCGAGCCGCAGGCGCACCCAAGACCGACAAAGCGCCACCTCCAGGCCGGGCGTGGTTACGGCGGCGGAGTTGTAGACTCCGGCATCTGCAGGCCCACCGGGCATCTTCGGCCTCTTTGCAGGGGTGTCTCAGTCATTGCAAACCCCACGTGCCAGGACAGAGAAGCGGACCTCCACTGCATGCCCACGCCTTCCTGGTTTGCCCCTCTCAGCAAATGGCACCACCACACCCTGCTCAGGCTGAGCCCAGGAGTCCTTGTCACCTCTCCCCATGGCCCATATCCAATCTATCAGCAAGTTCTCTTGGTTTCTCTGCATCCTGATGCTCAGTTTCTTTTTCTTTATAATTTAATTTTTTATTTTGTAGAGACGGGTCTTGTTATGTTGCCTGGGCTGGCCTCGACCTCCTGGCCTCAAGTGATTCTCCTACTGCTGGGATTACAGGCATGAGACATTGCATCCACCTTTTTTTCTTTTTAAAACTCATAAGTCCTCCCTCTCCCTCTGCCTCCTTCCCTATTCCCCCCACTTCCTCTCTTTCGTTTTCCTGAAGCCACAGAGGTCACCGTAAAGCAAGCCTTTACATTGCTTTTGAATAAAGAGACAGGCTGGGTGTGGTGGCTCATGTCTATAATCCCAGCACTTTGGGAGGGCGAGGTGGGAGGATTGCTTGAGCCCAGGAGTTTGAGAACAGCCTGGGAAACATAGGGAGACTCTGTCTCAAAAAAAAAAAAAAAAAAAAAGAAAGAAAGAAAGAAAGAAAAGAAAAAGTCCTGGGCATTGGTGCCAATGGCATTCATCTACTCTAAAGCTCTCTTTCTTCCTCAATTTTCTACCCTGACCCACTCTTTGAAACAGAGAATATCAATTCCATTTTGTTTTTGAGTGGGAGTCTCACTCTGTTGCTCAGGCTGGAGTGCAGTGGCACACTAGCGGCCACCCCAGCATCGACCTGCTGGGCTCCGGCAATCCTTCTGCCTCAGCCTTCCAAGTAGCAAGAACTACAGGCGCACGCTACCATGCCCGGCTAATTTTCTGATTTTTATTGTAGAGACAAGGTCTCGCCAAGTTGCCCAGGCTGGTCTCGAACCCATGGACTCAGGCAGTCTACTTGCCTCGGTCTCCCAGAGTGCAGGGATTACAGGCTGAGCCACTGAGCCCGGCCAATTCCATTTTACAATGGGAGGAATAAGACCCAAGTGATTTGCACAGATTAGATAGAATACAAGATCGACCATTTCAGCAAGGATTCTCCTCTCTGCAACTCTAGGCCTGCAGACCAGAATGCTTTCCTGATGATAGGTATTAGTGATGACTTGGGCTGGTCAGGATAGATTTGGAATCCATAGCCTTTGTATTTTTACTTCGCAGTTCAGTCCTCAGTGATGTTCCAGATTCCAGGAAAAAAATATTCCAACCAGGATAAACAGAATTGTTCTTTCATCTGGTGAACCAACAAGGCAAATATAATTCACAATGCCAGAAGATCCCCACACTAATCCTTTCATCAACCAAAAACTCTTCTTCACCTTGGAGAAAGCTGCTTGCTCTTTCATCGAAAGGAAGTGCTCACTATATTTCCCTCCTTGCTTTGGCTACCAGGAAGCTCACAGATCCACTCTGAACTTGACTGTAGTAGTTAGCCTGAGCCTGGATTTTTTTTTGGATATAACTCCTTACCTATTTTCATGACATAGCTTTTTATCCCTTAGCTTTAATAGTTCTATTTAAAATACGTTTTCCACTTGAAATCCTTCCCAGATCTTTCCAACACAGACTGAGTATAGACAAATGAATTCAATTTATTTTTGAAGCGGCTCTCCCGCCTTTTTTCCTACCTCCCTTGCATCTTGCTCAGGGGCTCAGGAGCAGATACTCTCACTAAGTGTATTCCCTCTGCTCTTACGCACACTGTCTCTCTTTGTAAAACATGCTTTCAGGGGAATGCAAATCGTTTTTAAAAGCTTCCATCCTGGCCCACTGCTAATTATTACTGACCCAGGAGGATCTGAGCTAATTTGCCTTAATCAACTCATGAAATAGCAAATTTCAGGAGGAAGAAACTACACGGCCTTTATTGGATTAGTGCAACTGCCAGTGGACATCCCCACTAGAACAGAGAGAAAAGCCCATTAACTGCACAGGAAAGCCAGAGAGAGCTAATCCGGCCACGTGTGTTTCCAATAAACCATCGCCTGCCACAGTTTTGTGTCTTTCTTAGGAAGTGGCTAGCAAAAGTTTCAAGCTTCCAAAAGAAAAAGGAAAGAAAGAAAGAAAGAAAAGGAAAGAAAGAAAGAAAAGGAAAGAAAGAAAGAAAGAAAGAAAGAAAGAAAGAAAGAAAGAAAGAAAGAAAGAAAGAAGGAAAGAAAGAAAGAGAAAGAAAAGGCAGTATCTTCCCCCTCCAACTAGATGCAGGTGATTAAACACGGCCCCTCTTGAATGAAACCGGCAGTAACCCACCTCCAGGTCGTTGAAGAACAGATGCGTGTCTGCCAGGTTGAAGATCATTTCCTCCATCATCAGGCCGATGCGCACGGATGTCGTGGTGTCCTGTTAGGCACAGAAGGGGGAACACAGGCCAGTGGGCACCGGGTGATCTTGGCAGCCCTCCCCTGCCCGTCCCCCCCAGGGAGAGGCGGTTTGGTCTGTCCTTATCTTCTCAAGCGCATCCCTGCCTGGAGTCAGGGTGATAATGTTGCACAGTTTCTGAGACCTCACTTCCAGTTTTCCACCATTTTGACTGATGTCTCCAATACTAGAATCTCCCCAAATGCTCTGGAATTGCAACCGTGTCCAGCGTGGCAAGGACACTTAGCACAGAAATGGCCGTGACAAAGGAGGGCCTTTTTCAAGTGTGTGTTTTCACGGGAGCCTGGAAGATTTCACAGAAAGCCATACAGACTACATATAGACCGCTGGGAGAGCTGCCATGTTGGTTCTTGCTTTCCAACGTTCTCTCTACAGATGCTGCCTTACTGCTTTTGATATTGTAAAAATCACTGCTTTCTAACAATAGGTGAATAATGATAAAAACACACGAACATGAAGCAGAAGGATGGGCTCACTGGGGAAAAATCCCTACACCCAAAACAAACAAAACTCCCCTACAGACAAAACCCCACTATGGTACATCCATACCAGGGAACACTAGGCAGCCCTTACAAAAATTAAGTCGTGCTAGAGCTACTGACATGAAACTATCAAGAGATACCACATTAAGTAACAAAAGCAAGTTGCATCACAGTGCAATGCATGAAACACAGTTGTGCAATAAAGGTGCCCCCCCTTCTATATGCACAGGGTGGTAGACTGTGTTGCTGTTCACCCACATTTGGGATCTCTCCCTGAGTTGCTTCACCCCATGGGAGGATGATCTTTGCCAGGGTTTGGCCAATTCCAGCCCAGGCCACATCTGGTCTGCTGCTTGCTTTTGCATGACTCATGAGTTAAGAACAGCTTTTACATTTTTAGCCAGTGTATTGTCTACAGTTTCTTTTGTACTACAAAGTCGGAGGTGAGTAGTCCAGAGATCGTGTGTCCCACAAAGCCTCAAATATATTTACTATCCAGTCCCTGCTGCATCCCCTCCCTGTTCGACTCAGGTGTGACCAGGTGGCTTGCCTTGGCCAGTGATATGTGGGCAGAAGCTCCTTTTCACTTCTGGTCAGAAGGTTTAACAGCCAGTGCAACTTTCCTGTGCTCCCTCTCCTCCCACTTTACAAGACTGTAAATGTTCCTGATGAAAGCCGTTTTGTTAGCCTGGGTTCCAGAGTAAAGATGAGGTGTATCAGAGCTACAGCTAACTGCAGTGGACATGTATCATACACGAGAAGTAGATGAGATTTGGGGGATGTTTGTTACTGCAGCATACCCTCACCTATCCTAACTGATACACATGGAAAAAATGGAGCACAGTTGTCTTCAACCCTGGCTGCAGACTGTAATGCTCTGGGGAGCACACAAGTCCTGATGCCCAGGCTGCTCCCCAGACCAATAGAATCAGAATTGCTGAGAGTGGGGTCCAGGCACCAGGGAGTTTCACAGTATCAGGTGATTCCAATGTGCGGCCAAGATTAAGAACTAGCAGTCTGAAAGGATACAGAACACATTGGTGGTAATATTCCTGGCTAGTATCTATTAGGTGACTTCTCAGTGCCATTTTACAAGTATTAATACATTTAATCCCCACAAAGCTCTATGGGGTGACCACTATTATTTTCCCATTGCTATGGTTTGGATGTGGTTTGTCCCTGCTAAAACTCAAGTTCAAATTTGAGCTTCAGTGTGGCAGTGTTGGAAGGTGGGGCCTAGTGGGAGATGCTTGGGTCATGGGGGCAGGTCCCCCATGAATAGATTAATGCCCTCTCATGGGGATGAGTGAGTTCTTACTCACTTGGGAATGGATTCGGTCCCTTGAGGCAGGGTTAGAAGAGTCTGGTTCCCTCAGTTTCTCTCTCTTGCTTCCTTTCTTGCCATGTGATCTCTGCACACACTGGTTCCCCTTCACCTTCCACCATGAGTGGAAGCAGCCCAGGTTCTCACCAGGTGCAGCTGCCTGACCTTGAACTTGCCAGTCACCAGAATCACAAGCCAACTAAACCTCTTTCCTTTATAAATTACCCTGCCTCATCGTGTTGTAGTGACACTAAATGGAGTAAGACACCCATTTTATAGATGTGAAACTGAGGCACATAAACGGAGGCACATAAGGGTTTTAGGTAACTTGTTCAAGGTCACCCAAGTACACAAGGGCTTGGATTGGAGCCAGTTAATCTGATTCCAGAGCAACATTGCTCTTGGGAAGGGGAGGTGGTCAACAGAGCTGAGGTGGAAGAGGAGTGGGGAGCCTTGTACGCCCTACCTACCCTTCTTTCTTTGCTTGAGTTTTTCACCGGGAGGCAGTTTTACTTCTCTTATGAAAATAAATAATCAAGGACATAAACCCTTCTTGACCCTTAAAAAAAAAGAACAGAAAAAGTGCAGCTGGTGTTTTCAGCTTCACACACACAACTGTGAAGAATCAGGCACAGGAACACCGCCATTAGGCGGGACACTTCATCAAGGCCCCGGGCAGGGCTTAGTACTGGAGGCCTGGCTGGAAGTCATGGGGCAGGTGCTCGGTGAGAACCAAAGCAAATGAGGAAAACAAACTTCTCAGAGCCTGGGAGGGAATCAGCGAGTGACCGGGAAAGGTTTACGGGGGTGTTTCCACGTGTCCCTCACAACCAGAGCATTTCACCTCGGCGTAGCTGCAAATTCCTCCTTGGCAGGGCCGCTCGTGTCCCTCGCCCCCTGACCACCCCCAACGCACTGGACAAGGAGCAGGAAGCTGCCACCCGGACTTGTGTGCCTGGAGAACTTATTCCGAAAGATGTCACCTCTTTGACCAGCGTGCAGAGAAGGAAAAGTAATTATTGTATCCGAAACGACTCTCTGTGAAAAGTATTTGCAGAATCACAGGAAGGCAATTGCGGTGCATTGATGAAGCTCCAATTATGACCAACTGACACCGGAAGGGTGTGAGGAGTAAGTCTGCATGTAGGTGATGGGGCAAGGGAGCTCAGTGCTTATATCTCTTTCTTTTTTTTTTTTTGACTTGGTATCTCACTCTGTCGCTGAGGCTGGAGGACAGTGGCACACTCACAGCCACCGCAGCCTCAACCTGCTGGGCTCAGGCGAGCTTTCCGCCTCAGCCTTCCAAGTAGCTGGAATCATAGCATGCACCACCATTCCCGGCTAATTTTTTGATTTATTGTAGAGACGAGCTCTCGCCAAATTGCCCAGGCTGGTCTCGAATCCCTGGGCTCAGGCAATCCTCTCGCCTCTGCTTCCTAAAGTGCTGGGTCTACAGGTGTGAGCCACCACACCTGGACTATTATACTTCTGGAAGCCAGAGATTATGCATAAAATGGGAAAATAAATCAAGAAGTAGCAGCACAATCATGGTACTCAGAAGTTTGGAGGTAAAGTGTTTCTTTGTTTTTTTGAGTTGGGGTTTCATTCTGTCTTCCAGGCTGGAGTGCAGTGGCACAATCATGGCTCATAGCAGCTTCCACCTGCTGGACTCAGGTGATCCTTCCACCTCAGCCTCCCGAGTAGCTGGGACTACAGGCACGTGTCACCATACCTGCCTAATTTTAAAAATTTTTTGTAGAGATGCGGTCTCACTATGTTGCCCAGGCTGGTCTTGAACTACTGGGTTCAAGCAATCCTCCCATCTTGGCCTCTCAAAGTGCTGGGATTATAGGCAATGGGGCTGGGATTACAGGCGTGAGCACCCAGTCTGGAGGTAATTTTTAAAAGAATCAGCAATAGTTGAAAGTCGTTGCCTCTGGGCAAAATGAAAGGCTTGGGGGAGTGGGGTGGGGGAGTCACTAGGACTGCTGTTTTCTATATACTTTCCTTTGTAGAACTATGAACTTTATATGCATATACTTCTTGCATTAAAAATTAAAAATCACAGGTAACGTACTCAGTGATTTCACTTCATATGATCTATCCTAGAGAAAACCGCATACATAGTTGGCCGTGGTGGCTCATGCCTATAGTTCTAGCTATACATAGTTTTAAAACTTTGGGAGGTGGAGGCAAGACGATTGCCTGGGCCCCAGGCTTCGAGACCAGCCTGGGCAACTTGATGAGACCTCATCTCTACAATAAATCAAAAAATTAGCTGAGCGTGGTGGCGCACACCTGTGGTTCCAGCTACTTGGAAGGCTGAAGCAGAAGGATCGCCTGACCCAGCTGGTCGAGACAGTGGTGGCCGTGAGCATGCCACTGCACTCTAGCCTGGGCAACAGAATTAGAGTCAGACTCAAAGAAAGAAAGAAAGAAAAAAAAGAATCCTGGTGAATGAGGACGGGAGGGAGGGGGAAAGGGAGACATTTTATAGATTTTTAAAACTTTTTATTTTGAGGCTGAGCTTGGTGGCTCACTTCTGTAATCCCAGCACTTTGGGAGGCTGAAATGGAAGGTTTGCTTGAGTCCTAGAGGTTGAGACAATCCTGGGCAACATAGTGAGACCTCATCTCTACAAAAAAATTAAAAAAGTAGCCAGGCATGAGGACACATGACTGTAGTTCCAGGTACTTGGAAGGCCAAGGCAGAAGAATCTCCTGAGCCCAGTAGGTCGAGGCTGCGGTGCCCGTGAACGTGCCATTGCACTCCAGCCTTGGCGACAGACTGCGACTCTGACTCAACAAAAAAAAAAAAAAAAAAAAAGAAAAAAGAAAACTCATACACATGAACAAGGGGACATGCCAAAAGATATCCATCACAGAATTGTTAGTAAATAGCAAAATATTGGAAACACTTGGGCTGCCCAGCCAAAGGAGACTACGAAAATACAATGCAGTCTCTTCATATAACAGAAACAAAATTTTAATGGAAAGAAGTGAATCAGATCTCCACGTATGAACAGACACATGCACAAAAAACTGTTGAGCGAAAAATGCTTTCATCGTATATTTGATATACTCTATTACCATTTATTAGAAACACATAAAATGTTACTTCATATTTTCCATGGGCATTTATATATTTATACATAT